GCCGGAGCTGCTGTCGGCTGCAGTGAACTCAGTCCCCCATAGAAATGAACGGGGAGGACTGGGTTTTTTCTCACACTTTTGAAAGTCATTCTGAACACGGCCTGTGTTTGCTACCTGTAAACATGGATGGAGCTGCAGGCAGAGTGTGTCACCACCTTGGAAAAAACTTGGCACTGCGTTGTTAAGACCTCCCTTGTGCTGCCTCCCCTCTTCACTCTCCTCTCTCCCTCTTTGCACTAATAGTTCTTTTGTATACAAGTGCATGTTAAGAGGCCAATGAGCCTGGCCTTAATAGGCCACGTTACCATAGAAACCACGGCACTCTGGATGTCTGACCTTTGACCCAGTTTTTTTCCTGGCTGTGAATAAGAGTGCAGGGCGACCAACTGAGTTACAATAGAGGCCCAGCAAACGGAGGGAGTGCCCCTGTCATGGTCACTTAACTTCATTCCTCTATGGGCTAATGGACACTTCAAATGTGGTAGCCATTAGCAGTAGGCTGTCTCTGCTGCAGCACCTCTGGCTTCTCAAGGCTGGTATGATGTATAACCGTTAATGTAATGGGGTCAATATAATGATGAATTCAAATGATATCCTGTAAAGGGACAATAGAGGTTCTTATAGTTTTAACGGACTCTAGATGTGACCGAATGTATACAAAAACACATCTCCACAAATAAAATGCCAAAATGATCCACTCATAGAAATCCATGTAATCTGTGTGGATGAAAATGAGTAATTTCTCTACCAGTTAGTCTCATTACTTTATATTCCTGTTGTTTCTTCCTCTTTGGACCTTCTTTTCCTTTAATTAATAACTTCTTCCCTGAGTGAACCGGGTGATGAGACATGGTCTCCATTCATAAAAATTGGCACAAAAGAGCATTGCAGGTCTGACCAGCTGAGCTGCTTGTCATTTCCCCATCAATTATACACTAATTAGCACAATGTCTGCTGAGGTTTGCTTAAGAATTGTCAATGTAATTGCTTCTTATGTTGCCAAACAATGAACCTTAAAAGACAAGGCGAGGGCTACTTATCACATTGTCTTTGTCCTGAAAGCTTTTAATTGTGTTTAATGTATAGATCAGGTTGAGGTGTCAATGACCCCGCATGAGCAGGTGATATCAGCAAAGCAAACCTGGGAGGGACTGTTGTGTCGGGGGCCTGACAGGGCCATTGTCTGAAGTTGCTCTTCATATGGGTAGGGGATGGTAATTAACACCTCAGCCAAACAGCAAGCTGTGTGGCCCATTTGTTTTCTGTTGGGGGCTAAAAGAAAACAATTGGGAGGGTTCCCCTCACAGTAGGTGACTGACATTATCTGCCACAGCAATCTGTGGAGGCATTCCAGCTGCTCTGTTATTCCAGAGTCAGGGCTGGTTGCAAGACTCAGCCCTGGTCCGAGCTGAAACTTTATACATATTCACGTTTTATCCTGCTTTTACACAGAGATTCCACTATGTTGGCATTAAGCTGGCCCTACCTGTTTACACTGAGCTAAAAGAATCTGCCATAATGTGTTCTTTCTACACAGATACTGGCATCTCAGTATTAGAAGCTGCAGCGATCCATTTAACGATGTTCAATGTAAGCTATAACACACACATCAGAAATACAAAACTTACTGGTATCACTGTTGCTGTCAGAATAACAACGGAGGATGAACAGAGTAGGAATGTGCTTTGTTAGTCCTGCATATTTACAACATATTAAATAAAATTGTTGAACATGGATGCAACTTTAAAATTTAAATCCTCTAACGGCTGGTGTCACAGAAATAACGTCAACAAAACGTCACACTCCTCTGTCCTCCACCCCCCCACATGGTAGAAAATTGGCGCAGTATTCCTGACTTGAATGGGCCTTGAATTGTTGTTTGTTTGTGTTTAATCTAATTCAGCATAACATGCAGTTGCATATAATCTGTTTTAGATAAACCTAGTTGGTTGGCATTTCTGCTTTTTAGACTCAGGATATGTTTTATTCATGATTATTTTGCAGAATTAAATAGAATTCTATAGTAATGTTATTTTCAACTCTACTTTCTGTCTGATTGACAGTTATTATGACTTCTCAGCGCAGCCCTAAAGTTGGCAGATAGTTGCTAGCAAAGTTTGGGATTTTTGTTTTTCTGTCCCTTTGGCAGAGTGTCTGACTTAGTTTGACAGCAAATGTCCAGACATCTGTCTCCTCTCTGTGCTCTGATGTTGGCCTGCAGTATGCCACCACACACTTCAGAGATGACAAAGACCCTTGGCAGTGTTTTCCTCTGCTCTGTGAGAGCGATGTAACAATTAGAACTCAGCTCTGGCAGGCCACATGCCCCCGAGCATATGTTGCATTCTATCGGTTCAAAAAACCAGAGGGCTCCAATGCGGCTTTTTGGAAATTTCAGTGGCATCTCTGCCACCTTTGTCGCATCTGGGTCCTGTAAAAGTAGCACATTCTACTGATGTCTATTCTGAGTGTTGGAGGCAGCAGAGAAAGCTGGATGACAATTAGACAGCTACCAAAATGGATCAGCTAAACTTCACTTCAGTTGCACATTTCTTTCAGTACTCTGTCCGAGTTTATCTACCAGCGCTTCCAACTCCCATGCTGTCAACACATGTTGCAATGGGCCCTAACCATATGTCTGTATTTGTTTCTAATAAAATAAGGGCGCATGTAAAGCATAACTAAATGCCGTGTAGTTACACTGATATTAGTTTATCTCCTGTTTCAGTTTTTTACAAAAATTTAACATCACTTAAGCCACGTCGTTACCATTTGAATCATCCACTTTAAACTTGTTTTTTACACTCTCAACACTGAGAAAGTTTCTGCTGAGCAGCGTGACCCACAATGCCTTGCGTTTTGTTTCCTGAAACAACTCATAGACCCAAACACCCTCCCTCTCTGGCTCTCATGTGTTAGTGAGCGGTGTGCTGCTCTAGAATGGACTGGAGCTAATGTGACAGTGTGCGGCTGGCATTACGTGGCTGGATGTTTCAGGGAGTGTGTGAACAGTTGCTCCATAGGGTATACTGGCAATTAAAAGAAAAGTAGGTGCTCAGAAAAAAAAGTGCCTGGGGGCATGTTCCTCAGTCCTGGCAGAAGCTGTCAAATAAGGGATGGATTGGGTGGGAGAGCCAGGGTGGGCACGGCCAAGCTAGACCAAACGCTCACAATAGTGCTTGTTTCATTTGTGGAAGGACTCATGATTGACATAGATTAGACAGAGAATACTGCATTGTTTTGGATTTTCTCTCCGGAGAGGAGCATTCATTAGGCACCGTGCACACAGCAGAGTAAAGTTTCAATAGGGAGCTAGCAGTCTTTAAAACCAACTGCCTCCTGACAGTTGTATGGACTTGGGCCCATTAGTTGGAACCTACGATTCAGCCTTGAGCAGTATAGTGAAAATGAAGAGGGCTGATGTCAACTCTAAGAATTTCCCCCCTTTTCGAAGGGAAAAAGGGTCCCCTTCCCCCTGCCTCTGTGCTCTGTTGGACCCCAGCTGTCAGGAAACAATACCCTCTGCCTGCTCCGACAAACTCATTCCTGAAAATGTTTTTTTCCCCCTCCTATCCCTTTCCCCCCCTCTTGCTATAATGTCTTTTCCATTTTTAACCCACAGCCATCCAAGTTTCCTTCCTCCTTACAAACTCTAACTGATGAATGAAGTTTTAAAAATCAAAACATGAATGCATGACTCCTCTAGTTTGGTTGTTTGTCATCATTTGTCTTGCACCAACATTTGCAAAGTAGACAGCTTTGCATACACTCTTTAACTGGATTTGTCAGTCATTTATTAAACGTCAGGTACTATTTCTTGCCTTTTCCATTCAACAAATGTTTGCTATGGGGGGACCTTAAACGGTTTTCTGCATAGAATTCAAAAGTACAATGCTATATAAATAACAACAATAGTATACGTTGCAGAATAACATGGTGAGGTTGTGCAACCACCTCTTAAAATTTACAGCCTGTAAAACACTGCCATCCTTCCATTAATCTCAAATAATGAACTACGATACCTTTGTGTGTCTGCACGACTTGGGCCTGGGTGAGTAAAACATAATATAAACCCTTTTAATTAATTTGAAATTGTACCAGTGAGAAAATCCTCATGCACAACATACTGCTGTATCCGGTATTTCAACTGATTCATAAACCAGATGGTTGAGCTGTGCTTTAGGAGCTCCCTCTATTGCTGGAGGACAAACAACAACAACAACAACAAATGCTCAGCTCATTCTATTGAGCGATAAATCACAAAAACCTCTCCTCGAGTACACAGCTCTTACTCCGTGGCACAGTAGCAAAGGGACAGGCAGCAGCAATAATAAGACAAGCTGTGGTGGAAATGTCTGTGACAAGCGAGAGAAAAAGCAAGAACACTTACACAACTCTTTATGATAACGTTGATATCATTTGTGAGGAATGGCGATACTGAGAGCAGGAGGGACTGTGGGCTCAATTGAGGGTCAAAAGGCCAAACCAATTGAGACTGATAATCAGGAGTCAGCCTGGAGTCCACTTTTGCTGGACTGTTGATGGGGTTTCCTTCCAGCTGTCTCACTCGGCGATGAGCGCCCACAGCTGGGCTCTTGTTTTTCCTTGACAAACAGCGATTTCACAGTCCTCCACCAGCCTGTTGTGTTCACATCGCTCACCCTGCTCTTCCCTGTGCCAGAACTCACGGTCTGACTCCACCAGCAATGTGGGTCTTGTACAGGTGTCTGCTAGAGATCTCTGTGGGTTTGACACCATTCATACCATTTTTGCATGCTCCAGGAAAAGCTGGGCTCCCACTGGTTTAGTAATTGTAAATATAAGAGACTGACTTGCATGTTTTTGCCACTTGGCCTCCATGCCCTCTCTATTTTTCAGTGCATTTTGTTAAATTCTGTATATTTTGTGTTGTTACCACTGGTCTTATTTTCCCTGCACAGTGTTGTTTTTTTTTTGTTTGTTTGTTTGTTTTAATTTGGCTCCATTTCTTTCGCCCATAGTACCTGCAGATGAAATGGCCTCTTTTGGATGTTCCCGGATCTACAGGACTGAAAGACTCTCGTTCTCCAACACCAGGGCATTTAGTAAGTAGACACAAAACAACATAAATATTTGATTATGACAATATCAAGCCAAAAACACCAAAAACATGTTTTGCTGGAGTAAGGATTAGTTTTGGAGCAAGTGATGCCAGTTTTATTAATCAATATTTCTGTTTATGATGGCATGTGCACACTGAAGTCTGATTTCTTAATGGTTTTTGAGTCAGCGTGTGCGTCGGAAAGATTATGATTGCGTGACAAAAGAGCAGCATGGAAAGGAAGTGAAGGAAGCAAAACATTCTGGGACCACAGTAATATCTGTACCATGTTACAACTAATGCTGCAAGTACTGGAATGAAATTTAAGTCAGTGAACACCAGTAGAGTTGCATCATTTGCCTTGTATTCTGTGGCACTAATAAGACGTTTCCTCCAGGCTACTTCCTAAATCATATAAACTTATGAGGGGACTCAATTTACTGTGAACCATATAAATGCTTTAATCAAACTTTCACTGTAATGTGGTTATTTACAGTAATGATGTGTGTGTGTGTAAATCTGCTGATTCCCACTTGCCCATGTACAGCTGCCCCCACAACCCCTACAGCACCCGCATGTCAGTTGCTGAACAGTCTGTCTTTAGCACAATAACTCCACCATCAGCTTCTCAAGTTTGAACCTCCATTCCTGAGCTTTCCACACAGGTGTGAACCAGGTATTATGGTGTCTCACTCTGGTCAGACAATGCGGGGCCTTCACAGACCTGTTTGCTTTGTGGCGTCGCTGAGGGACATGCATTCAGGATAAACAATATTAGATAACACCAGCAGTTTGATTGTATCAGGGCGTTTTCTGGTTTGGGAAGTCAAGTTAAGTGGTGCACGGAGGAGAAAGCCACTGTCACTACTACTCTTAAGTAAAACTGAGGTGTTGTGACTTGACCTTACATATCCTGGCTAGACGTCCTTGTTGATTTTGTGGTTTGGCTGCGTCTCATAGTCTTAGTGAAGCACATGACAAAGTCCTCATTGAACGCAGTCAATGGGAAATTGTTGTGAAGGGGACAACTTGTGTTTGCTCATGGGAATCCAGGACTGACTTAAGTCTCAGTGGAAATCAATTAAATATGTTTTACTAGATTAAATTTTGACCTGTCATTGACCCTGTTGATTTTTCTTGTAGACACAGCAGCTGCTATTTGAAGTTTTGTTGCTGTAAACTGATTTTAAATTATTTAACCAATCTGTGACATTATGTGTGACTCCAGGTTGTAGGGAGTTAAGAGATTAAGTCAAAAAAATGAGCACACGATAATAGCAACTGGATTTAAAGGAAATGAAAGTACGTTCACAGATGTTAGGGTTCCCTGCTTGAATTGTTTCTGCTCTGTCCTTCAGTGGCTGCTGTGAATTTTTCACGTGCTTTTTAGTTTCTGTTCGACCTTCATCTCTTTGAATGCTATTAAACCAGGAAAGTTAATACAGAAAGAAACATTGTAGAAGACTGAGAATGTGAAGGATCAAAGTGTTTTCTGCCAGAAATGTTACACTCATTGTCCTAATAATAAGCTGCCTTCACTTCTGTGCCCTTAAATTTGAAGCTTCCTTAAGTTTTGAAGATGTTTTTGCTGCATGCATTTAAAATACTCTCCTGCACATGATACACAGGAACTTACAGGTTTCTATCCAGCTGCGTAATGTAAATCTTGATTTTAAATTAAAGTTGATCATTTTAAGGGAGATAAGACATGCCAGTAATTATGATCATTTTGTTAAAATTAAATGCACAGCTCTAATGAATGGACAGTCCAACGCCAAACATTTCAAACATGTCAGTGAAAGAATATGAGATAACATCACTGTATTAGAACTTGTTTAACATCTTTACTTTAAAGTGGAGTAAGAGGTAGGGAAGTTCACTGAAAGTCTAACAGCTTTCATTACGTGAATTAAAAGAGGAAGTCGCCATGCTTGATCCGGTGACCTGTTACCTCAGGGTCATTTGATGTGTGCTGGGAAGCTCTTTTTCAGGGTACGGTGTGCCCTAGCACAGAGGGTAGAAAGTGAAACATCCTACTGAGCCCTTACCCCCACTCTGGGCCAGAAGCCCACATGCCCCTCTGGTGTGCTGTTGCTGACAGGGAGCCAGGCTGATTATGTGCTCATTACTCCAGCCGAGGAAAGAGAGAGAGTGGGAGGGGAGCAGCAGGCTGGCTCCCCAGGCCTGTAGGCTCCCCAGGCCCCAGCACTCCGCTAATGAGAGCAGGGGGAGCGGATGGGCACACACGGGGGGCCAGGGATTACTGCCCAGGGCCAAGATGAGCAGAGAGAGGAGAGGCAGTGAGGAGACACCAGTAGGGACTCCTGATGCAAACCTGTGCTCCTGCAGTCATTTAAATCTGACACTGTTGTTTTGTTTTCTTGATGAACTGGCATAGTTTGAAATATCTGTGAAGGACTGCACATGTATGTCTTATATTTTATGTGCATGTTAACTATGCATAATGTTTACTGTAGGGTTTTTGCACAGCCTTAGTTGAAAGGCCTGCTCAGTCAGACGCCCTCGTACACCACCACTATCCATCCACTTAGAGACAATGCTGATATTTAGATTTTTTTTTGTGTGTGTGACGATATCATTTTGCAAACCCACAGAGATCACTGCAGGTATTGTTGGTGAACTGAAACCGCTTTGACATTTCTGCTAATTTTAGTAATGTGGAACTCAAGGAGATGATGTAAAATAGAAACCTGAACATTCGGTGAATATGAAAAGTCCAGGAAAAGATCATCCTGTCACTGTGCAGATTGGGTCCATAAGGCCTGTATGCTAATGGGAGCCTGCTCTGGCCTGAGATCGTCAATTATTCAACAGACAGGTTTGTTTAGCATTCAGTTGGTATTGCTTGTGGTAGTAATGGTGGTGGTAGTGGTGGGGTGGGAAGACTGGGAAGAAGGGAACAAGCTTTTCTATGAAAATACCACACCTCACCATGCACACACAAGCACACACGTCCAGCACCCCCATATCAGCCCCTATGTTCTGAGGGCTGCCTCCTTATACATAATACATCAAAGGCGCTGCATGGCCAGGTGATGCAGTATGAGGAACTTGTCAGCCCATTAGTAGTGGCCGAGCTAGTCCAGGGAGGACAAGAGAGGAAAGGAGGAAGGAAGTAGAGGTGGCGCGGCTGTCTGAGTTATCGGCATCTCTTACATCGTCATCTTTCACAATTCACAGTCATTAACACTCTGCTGATAATGATGTCAAGGTTGCCTGCTTCCTTCGGTGAGGTCATTCAGTCACTTGCAGTAATTTGTCTATGAGGCCTATTCTCTTTGTCATTACCAACTACACTGACTACTACTGTTAACGCTGGATTAGAATGAGCTGTGACCGTCTAATGAGGCAGAACTGACCAGGGTGTCTCTCCCTCAGTTACTTAGCCTGACTCACTCAGTGCTCAAATATGGGCTGATCCTCACTTGACAGGGACACAAGAATTGCCTCTTTGTTTCAATACTGTATTAGAGTCTAGATCAGTGAAGGCAACAAGGGACCTGGTTTTGTCAGTGTGTCATAAGTCACTTAGTCACTGAATTGTTTAAGTGAATTGAAGCAACAAGGTCTAGGAGAGCATTCCAGAGGTTCCGTTTGTTTCCCTGCATGTGTTTATGGTAATCTTTAACTCTCACTGCTGTACGGCACTTTAACTAGAGATATGAACTCAAAATATGCTTATTTTTTCCTTTCAAACCTATATGTATACCTGCTTTTAACCTATATTATTTCAAAAGACCTTTGACTTTGAGTCCTTTGAGATTTTCTCATTTTGCATTAGGCAGTGAACAAGCGGGATCCATCATGAAATCAAAGGCTTTGGGAGGACTGAACTGAATACTGATCTAAGATCTGCAGTCCTGCTGGGCCACTGCAGGGGCAAGATCCTCTTCAGGAATGGAATAAGGAACCAGTGCTTTGATTCCAGTCAAAGTCTGAGTTGAACAAGTTCAGGAACACAGAATGAGAAAAATGAATGTATCAGTGGCAAATTTGCCAGAATACGTTTACAAAGATCCCAGTGAGACTTGTTCATGTATGTGTTCATAGATTCTGTGCTGATTTTGTTAGCCCTCTCTGTTTATTTAACGACTACTCAGGATGGTCACTTCAGTAATATGATGCAGCTTTGTGCTGTATTATTCTAACCTAGACTATTACTGCCATTGACCTTTTGAGAGGCGATGACCAGACGTAAAACGTGTCTGTAATGGATGGCATAGTTTCGGAGTAGTTGATTTTCAAGATATACGATCAGTCCCCTCTCATGTCCGTTTCCTGTTGGCATTGACAAACAAGGCTTGGATTTCTCAGCATGCCGGGCATTCTTTTCACCCCGTCTTTCCTGGAGTTTTGAAAGGCCTCTGAGCCTCCCACCCAGAATCACCCAGCATAAAGACACACAAAGCTGCAGGGTTATTCAGTTTGTTCTAAGCTCTCTTCCCCATCGGCTGTTTGCCTAGTAATTCAACTCAGATGTGCAGAATCCAAAAACATGTTTGCTTGAATGAAATCCACCCTTCCACCCACACTGACCAAGGACTGTGCCTTTCTTAGCCCCATTCCAAGTTGGACAGCCAAGCAAGGTACTGCCACCTCGGCCCTTTTAGCTTCTACTCCTCTTAAGAGACAGATATCTCTTGTCTGCACTGGCTCAGCAGCTTATTGCTATGTTTTTCTTTTAAACCTTCCTGTTACTCTGTCAGATCACTCTAAGACCAGTTCTGGGTGTTTTTACTCACTAGCTGAGAAGAATGCACCATTGTAGGCCTGTTTGCAACAAGCACTTCTATGTCAAGAGCATGATTCCTGTCTGTTGATAGCATCTGGTTTCAGGTTGCTCTTTATCTATTGTATTTTGGTTATATTTAAAACACAGCTCATGTTCCTTGTGGTTTCCTTATTACACTTTTCTTGTTGATCATAAAACCAGACATGAAGCTGTCGTGGGCTGGAGGAATATTGCCTCTACACATAAAGTGAGTGAAAGAAGGCATTGATACCTTAGTGTTTGGATCTTACAGTCTAGCTTTTAGGTTTTACAGAACCACATTTATTACAGTCTCTGGAGAACTTGATTAATTTAAATTAGTTTTAAAAGTGATGCAGATTTTGATTGATTTAATTTAAAATGTTCTGAATTAAAGAGATATTTGCTTGATGAAGTAGCCATCTTTATTGCTAACAGAGTTTGTAGTCAGGTGTTAGGGTTTGTAGGTAGAAAACAGGTCTGAATGGTTTTGGATGTGTGCAACCTGCATGCTCCATTTTTCTACAGATTTTGTTTGGATGCTGAACTGAAAGACAGCCTGGAGCTGAAACTAGTGCCTTCAAACTTAGAAACATGCTTAATGCACACAATTGGCGTATTCCAGGATATGAATAATTAATAATATCATTGCGAATTCTCACTGAACTCCTTCCCAAAATGTGTTGGCACCCAGGTCTAGGGGTCTCAAACAGCCCTCACAATATAGGGAAAATTCAGGCATATTGTACATAAAGTAGAACAACAAAACACAACTCAAATATACATGACGTCTGGGACCAGGGATCTCACCCCAGAAAGTCAACACTATTTATCAAAGCCTTTTCTGTGTTGGCTGAAATCCTGTTCTTTGCACATCTTCATATGCATTGGCCTTATGCGCACTAAGTCTGGAGAAACCAAAAAAACGTCCCAAGAAAAGTGATCTTAATATAGCCATGTTTAATGCCAGTAAATATTTTCCTTGCTCTATGTAGCATTAACAGAATCAAAGCATGCTTTAGACATGGCAGAAACTGATTTGGTAAAGATTTATAAAGAGGAAAAGGTGGGACCTTCCTTTAAAAAAAATAGTGGCACAAAAAAAGCTTAGATCTGAACAATTCTAAGCAGCATCAAGCAAGAGAGTATACAGAAGTCTCAATGCAAACCTTGTTCCCTAGCAGACCATGTTGGAGAGAGACGAGAGCTTGAGAAGGGGGTGAGTAGGGATATTGAAGAAAGGTTAGCTTGGACGAACAAGACTCCTTTCTCACCCCACTCACCGCTTGACCCTCCCATGTGACAAGTTGAGCCAACAAGTGCTCTATTCAGCCAGGCAGCCAGGGGAAATGATTACGAGGCTGAGTGCTGCCTAATAAAAGTAGAGACGCTGGTTATTATTATTGCCTTCATCATTCTCATTGCAGTTGTAATGCCAATCAGAGCTCAGCAAGAATCTGCTTTTATTAAAATACGCATACATTTTTGCTGGAATAGCTAAAAGTGCTATATCCAAAGAGGACTTTTCACCATTTAAGTTATACAGAATTTTGAGTCTTTTCTACCATTCGACTCATCTGTAGTGTAATATGGCAATATAATCTACCCATGGGTAAATGGCTTATTCCAATCAAATGACTGCTGTCAGACAGAGTGGGGGATGATGTCGCCAGTTGTTTATAGGTATTTGGTTTACCTTAGTATGATTGTGTTTGTTTGTGGTTTCCTGGTGTGACTTTTGCAGTCAGTGACACTGTTGTTTTTCTTGTTAGACTGAACAAACAGTTCTCTCCTTAGATAAATGACTATAATGGTCTTGGCATGTGTGTGCGAGGCTTTTTAGTGTTCCTTGGTGCCGGTCCAGATTGCATCACAGGGCTGGTCACACGCACAGACTGTGATGTTTACCGGAGGGCATTCACACATGATGGCCTGTTTACTCTGGAGTTCTTCTGAACAACAGCCAGCAGAAATTAGAAGCTCTGATTAATTACTTTGCATTCACTCTGTTCTTAATGTTGTGTCACACACCTGTTGCACACCGGTCATTTGCTGCTTATAAATTCTTTGTGCCTGTTCTTTTCTTGTTGTTTTGTGCACAAACAGTCCAATAAAGTGCCAGTGGTGCAGCATGCCCACCATGTCCACCCGCTGACACCCCTCATCACCTACAGCAATGAACACTTCTCTCCTGGCACGCCACCGTCACATCTATCTCCAGAGATTCTGGACCCAAAGACAGGTAATGGGTGGATGTTGATTCACTTCACTATACACTGTACATCTTAATTAAAGTGATACTTCTCATAAAATCTGTCAGCAATCTCAAAAGGTGGCCAGAAAAAAATGTAGTTTTGTCTTTTTTAAAAGCTGTCTGTGGCACCTGCAGGTATTCCTAGGACACCTCACCCTTCAGAGCTCTCTCCATACTACCCCTTGTCTCCTGGTGCTGTCGGTTCAATTGCACACCCTCTGGGCTGGCTCATGCCGCAGTAAGTTTGTTCATTGTCAGATGTCCACACAGCCAGATGTGTAAACTTAATATTTTGACCATTATGATTTCTTTAAGAAACTGTGCTATTACTTTAAAATGGTACCTAATTATGTTGGACACATTTCTCAAATTTCCGTTTTCAGTATGTTTTGTGGGTACGCTCACTTGACATGAAGTTTCATACCATCACGCCACAGTGGGATGGGGGCTCCAATAATTAATTAAAACACTTGAGTTTAGTCGGAGGAATTTATGAACATATATTAGTTTCTACAGGTCTCATTATGAATTGCACTGGTGCTCTTCCACAAGCAGGGGATTTGAGTCGGTGACTGGAGGATTAGTACTGGTGGGTTAGCTGTCAGCTGTTTGACTTTACACTGGAGCTTTTCCTCACTCTGTCTCCCTCTGTCTCTCAGGCAGGGCCAGCCCATGTACTCCATCCCTCCGGGGGGATTTCGTCACCCCTATCCAGCGCTAGCAATGAATCCATCCATGTCCAGGTGATCACGTTCAGCAACACCCACACCTTCCCAAAGCGAGACTTTAAAGCATGCTGCTTCTATGACATGCTGTAATCACATTTCTCCCACTTTGTTTGCCAGCAAGTTGATTTTAAAACTGTAGGTAAAATAAATGGCTTGCCTGCATTTGTAAGCATTGTTGAGCTGTTAAGGCGCCGTTTTCAGAAAATTGCACAATCTTGTTCTGAATAGTTGCTTAATGTTTCTCAGCTACATATGTTTGAGATATAGTGCAAAATCAAAGAACTTAATTCCACTTTTGACAAAACACTATCAGATCACAGGCAGACAGCATTGTCAGGACTACAAAGGGATGTGAGGTCTAAGTCTATCACTGACAAGTTCAGCTTCTTAAACAGAATCTGATAATTGATATTCAGCACTCCTCCTGTCTTTTCTCTCGGAGCTAAACTTCTGTGGTCAGGCCAATGTTCTGAGCCGCTCCGCAACACACACACACACACACATAGTGCTGAGATGAAAGGGCTGACGATCGATTACAACAAATCAAAGCTCATCTGAACCTACATGTCCCATCAGACTAAGCTGTCTGACCCTCTGTCAAAATTGGAAAGATTTGTATCGAGCCTTCCGGTGTTAGAATGAGATGAAATATTCAGAGGGGTGTCTGTGATCAATAGCATGGTGCATTCGGAGATGAACTCTTAACTATAAAAACATACCACATCTAAGTTTTTACACTTTTTTAATGCATCGTATTTAGTGCATGCCAAATATTACACCAATCCACACGGGTTTAACTTTAATACATGACTTACAGTGGACTGTCTAGTTCCTTTAGAAAAAAACTGATGTAAAGATGTTTCTGAGTAAAGCCTGCAATTATTTGTTAATGACAGCCGATGATGTGTCACTTTAAAATCTGGATTATGAAATTGAAATAAATTGTAAGAAACATAGCTACAACACAGACATCATTTCAATCTTTGTGGGAGTGTTATTCCAAAATTGTGCAGCTTGGTTGCATAGCATCACTTAGAGCAGCACAGAGTTACTGAATAGGGGTTAAGTCTGATGTTTGCAGATTTAGGCAGTAGAGGTTTATTAGTAAGGGAATCATATGGCACCTCCTTGTTTATACAGTGTAACTTAGGAAGTATATCAGCGAATTAAGGAAAATAAGGCAAAATACAAGTTTTTAATTGTTGCTATTGTTGCTAGTTATGTGAGATTTTATATTCAGTCAGAAACAGTTATAAAATCCTCAGCTTACATGTTAACCCCCAGTTTGCCCATACTAAGTAAATCAGAAGATGAAGCTGATAACTCTGTACTCGCCTCATGTAAGTAGATTGTGCATTGTCTCCCATGACAGTGAAATCTATTAAAAGACTTAAAACAGAAATGTTCCACTCCAACATTAACTATAGTGTGTGTCCATTACAATGCTCCACTGTCTTAACAATTGGAAATTGAAAGAGACACTTTGTAAAGGTGTTCTGTGTAGACGGCTGTCAGAATGCTACCCATTGCCTGGAACGTGGTAAGGGAAGTGGTTTCAGGTGTCACTGCCATGCTGTCGCCATGGTAACAACACACTCCACTTTCCTCCAGCCATTGCGGAATAAAGGGGCTTTTCAAAAAGTCTTTATTTGAGCAAAAAAGCGAGCATGTAAGTCAGCGTGTATAAATTCAGTCTAGACAGACGCAGTAGGCACAGTAAATTTCACCTGGAGGGTAAGGCAGGGCAGTTAGGTGTCATGTTAGCGAAACCTTTTCTTGTCAGGTCAACCAAGAGTCACTGTTAAACCTGACTGTTAAAATGTTGACTCCTTTTGTCCTCTCAGCTTGGTGTCCAGCCGTTTCTCCCCTCACATGGTGACCTCGCCTCCACACAGTCTCCACCAGACCAGCATTCCCCATCCTGCCATCGTCTCCCCAGCCATCAAGCAGGAGCCCAATGGTGACAACATCAGCCCCTCGATGCATGCGTAAGGACAATAAAAGGAGTCATCTAAACCTCCTTTTGTTTACCTTGCTATTATTTACCAGTACCTTTCCACCACTGATGTTGTATTAACAAGACCCTTTTACGGATTAGCAGGAAGTCTCCTGTTCCTCCCAAAAAAGAAGAGGACAAAAAGCCTCATATCAAGAAGCCTCTGAACGCTTTCATGCTGTATATGAAGGAGATGAGAGCCAAAGTAGTGGCAGAGTGCACTCTGAAAGAGAGTGCCGCCATCAACCAGATCCTTGGAAGACGGGTAAGTAGCATAGACACAGATGTTCATGTGAGTTTAGAACTATGAATGTGTTTTGCAGTCCTTTGATATATACTGTCTTTTCCGCAGTGGCATTCCCTGTCAAGAGAGGAACAAGCCAAATACTATGAGCTGGCCAGGAAAGAGAGGCAACTCCACTCCCAGCTCTACCCCGGATGGTCAGCACGAGATAACTATGTGAGAACATTTCCATGATCATATCAATGAGTAGAGGAAGTTAGAAAATACTTCTGTCTCTTTGGTTTCTGTCAAATGTGACTGTATCAGTTAATTATAGCAACTGTACTTTTGTTTTTATTAGCTGAATTCACTGGGGTGGTTTACTTTCACTATGAAAACTGACATTGTTTTATCTGTACAGGGAAAGCGGAAAAAGAGGAAGAGAGACAATAAACCAGACTCAAAACCAGAAGGTAAGGGCAACCTTATTTGTTTTTAGTTCATAAACTAGAGTAACATAGAAAAACTGTAGAAACTAACAGCAATGCAACATGGGACAACATGCCTGTATTCTATTATTTTTATATTTTTGCATAGATTTTATTTACTTCTCCACTAACACTTACTAACTTCTTTCCCTGCTTCTATACTTTGACAAGCAGCTTATGAGGTTCAGTGCTAATAGCGGCAGGTATGTCTGCTATAGTGCAACCAAACAACCACTGTAATTGACCCAGTATAAGAGAGCTTTCTACACTGCTGTGCACATTTTGATGTAGTGCATCATGTTCTCTTTTGCATCATAGATGCATACCATTTGATTATGTTCAGCATCCTGTTTCACACTCCCTGTTGTAATGTGTTTTCAAGTCATGCTTTAAAACTTTCACTGCCATCGTCATCGCTGTTTTAATAATCACTCCTTTACTTCTGCCACCAGAAGCATTGAGGGACTTGAACCAGATTTTAAGGCAGCAGCAGATACATAATTCAGTTTCTTCACTTCTCCTTTGTTTTCCTCAGACTTCTCAATAAGAAGCAAGAAGCAGTGTGTGCAGTATCTGCCCTCGGAGAAGATGTGTGACAGCCCTGCATCATCCCACGGCAGCATGTTGGACTCGCCAGCCACTCCCTCTGCAGCCTTGGCTTCCCCAGCTGCTCCTGCAGCCACTCACTCGGAGCAGGCCCAGCCGCTATCACTCACCACCAAACCTGAGGGACGCATGCACCACCATTTCTCCCTACCTGGGAAGGCTTCTGGGTCCACATCCTCCTCCTCCTCCTCCACCTCCTCCCAACCCACTATCTCTCTCTCAGTTGGTACTTCAGGTAGCCAGCCATCCACACCCATCCTCACCCGGCCAATTGCCTTCACTTCTCTGCACCCCTCCATGCTCTCCCCACCTTCCCCTTTCCATCATGCCCTGTTCCAGTCACAACCTCTCTCCTTAGTTACCAAACCAACTGAATAAATCTGCAAAGGCAATTTCCTCCCATTTATTGTGCTGTATATTGCTTTTCTTTAAATTAGGTATTAGAACAACTTTTTTCTAAATAATGAAAAGGAAGAAATATTATTGGTCAATATTTGACCGTCTCCTTTTCCACATCTCTCAATGAAACAAAATGTATTTTTTGTAAAGTTTACTGCAGAACTGTTTTTTTTTTTCAATGCATTTATCCAATGAACCTCTTGTATAAAAGAACCAATGTACATAAAGTTTCTTTATAAAAACAAAAAGGAACAAAAACATGTTTTCTTTTTAGCCAAAACACAGTTAATGTTAGTATTAAGTTTTAAGTCATAGTACTGGCCAATAATTGCAGCCCCGTTTTCAATTCACAAGTGTGTGTCCCTCCTTTGACATGTTAAATAAACATTTGAAATTGTTTCTTTAAAAAAAGTCTCAGTGTGTCTTGTCACATGAACTTAGCCCATGTTTTTGTCATTTAACAAGGAGATGTTTCTTTGACAAGGTAATGTGGTTTGGGTTAATATTCTCGTAATAGTGACCACAGTGCATAACTACAGTTTTGTAGGTGTTGAGAATGTAGAAATAATGAGCAGTATAATCTTATTACAGCCATACTGAAAATGAAAGAGTCCATAACACACCCGTTATTTTTGGGGCTTGTGGTAATGCTTTAGTAACATAGAATGTCTTCACAGAAACCTTGCTGACTGTTGCAATGAATTCATTGTTTAATAAAGCAGAATTAGAACCAGAGTAACAAAATGTGAAGAGCAATGTACAAAAAAAAGCATCTGCTTCTTGTTGAAAAATAGGGTCCTGCAACAGTGACAAAAAAGCAGGTCAGTCCCATCCCAGCATGCACTGAACCCTGCTTGGGTTCCCTGTTCCTTTTGCACTTTTATTGCATCTTTATTCGCCGTTTGGCACACTGCTTAGGCTTTAATTAACTCGGAGGTAATGGGATGGAGCCCCTGGGACCTCATTAGGCATTTCAATTACTGAAAAATACACAAGGTAGGTTACAGTTTTTGGTGGCTTCGAAGATGAGGAGTAGTGCCAGGGATGGACCAATTATGTCAGGAGAGGAGGAAGGGGGGCACGGACGCCCATTCCCAGCTACCTACAGTGAGATCTACAGTGCTGTGAAATATTACTTTTCAACAGCATTTTTTACTATTCAGTTAGTACACTTTACCAATTGAGATGTCTTTCCAGACAGCGAACAGCACCAACAGATCATTTAGACCAAGCAAGCAGTCTCTGTTAATTGATTATAAGTTTGATTTTAGATGCTACAATTATGATCTTATCAGAAATATCTAGAATGTTACTGAGATTTACTAAGCAGATGTTATCCTCAATTTAGTCTTAACTCTGACAGAATCAAAGGTCAGTCTCAAAAGACAGTTGTTTCCTCTCTTCCAGACAGCCTCCTAAAGCTGCAGACAGGTGGCCTGAGGATGTGTTTCTGTTTTGGCTCCCAAGCAGAGGCACCAAACTGTCAAGTCTTCCCTGCTCTGTTTTAAGTGATCATTAGCCACAATAAGTCTTTGCTTGTTAACCATTCTATCTTACTTCATTCCAGATACAAACCACACAGTCTATGGTGCCACGGCCGACCGCTCCGAGCCACTTCACCGATATGTCAGTGAAATTACAGGTAATGAGTTGTCAAACCAGTGAGCAAATCTGTCTCCTCAAGGCCGTACATCCAGCGCAATGTTCAGTCCTCCTAAGACAGTACCCTTATTATCAAACTCAAGTGAAGCACTTCAAATGGTTATTCCAGGTTGTTCTTCATGTAAATATATTTCCATACTGGTGCCTGCTAATTTTTTTCATTTTTAGTTGTCTAGTTATTAAAAGGAATCCCATAAAATCTCTTAAAACATGATTATTACAACATTTCATATGTGAGTTTTAGCACATCACACGAGCAAATAGGATTTCAAAGCATAGGCCTATGCCCAGTTTTAGACTAAATATCTGTTTTAAAGGCAATAAAAGGTATGTTTTGCCGGTTTGGTTCCCATGCTCCACTCAAAATGTAACACACCGCTTTTTTTCTCTAATAACGTGCCCGGTTGCTGCTCCATTCAACATCTGCCATGTAAGCACGAGGTCAGATTTAATACATGTTAATTTTTGCTCATTAAATTCTTCCAATCTCTTGCCAAGGTTCTTTTTTGGGCCTTCCTTTGATCTTGAATGTATTCCAGGTTAACCCTTTGATAGTTCACATGTGAAATACTGCACTTAGAACTGTCATTTAAGAAGTCAATGAAATTGTTAAATAAATGGATGAATGAATGAATGAATGAAGCGGCATCCACAGAAACACACACCCAACAGCATCATTAAGTTTAAATCAAGTATTGCGGTGGGTAGAGCAGTCGTCTCCAACCAGAAGGTTGAAGGTTCGACTCTCGGTGCATGCAGTCCACATATTGAAGTGCCCTTGGGCAAGACACTGAACCCCAACTAAGATGTAAAACTGCTACAATTAACATCTGGATCATTATCTCACCTTTAAAGCTGCTGCACAATTTCAGCTGCAATTCCTATAATATTGTTACACAGTACTGTGCTCAGCTGTAAAGCTTAGTGACTTTATGCCAATAAATTTTGTTTAATGGTATCTTTGTTTCTGGATTAAACAGTATTTCACCCCCTTTAAGGTAGTTGTAGGATGAATAGTAGTAGTTTTACAGATGGTAGTTTTTGAAAACCCTCAGCAGTTACACACATAATCTGGAGTCATAAAGTACTTTTGTTATTCATTTTTTATTTTTCACTGTATATCAATGCTGCCATCTGCTGATGAAGTCGAATCCTGACAAACCACCTCATATCCACATCATATCAGCACCTAACCCGTGGGTGGCAGTAATAGCACAGCTCTTCCGGTGGCGGATCATTGGAAAAATATTATCTTGTATAATAATCTGTGTGCTCTTTACCTTTACAGGTTTGGGTCAGTTGAGAAGTTGAGAACAAACAGCGTCATCTATAGCTGAGCCTAAATATTTAGTCTCCCTCTGTTTCCACTTGTAGCATTCAAATGAAACTAAATAATACACTTAGGAAAGTCAGGTCAGGCCCTCTGTATGAGTGCCTGTCTATAAAAAGACTGACTCAAACAGGAAAGCATGCATTGTTTTACTTTAAGTTCCTCAAATGCATATATGAACAAAATGTGCAATGCTAATGCAACATGGAAGAAGAAGCTTCCCATGTTTGAACCATCTGTTTGAACAATTCTTAAACCAAAACAATATTAAACAGCATTTTGATTTCATATGGATGAATACTGTAAATGTGTTACGCTGTAGATTGTTTAGTAATTTTCATTAAGTGGCAAGACCTGTGTGTTGACATGAGGGAATGATAATTCGTGTGTGGTCAGATGATTACATGTTGCGAAACTGGATCCAAGGTTTCAGGCTCAGGGTGTGTACTTTGTTACACTTGACTGGAGCAGGCTGAAACTGTCAGGAAAGGTATAAGAAAGTGATATTTTCCAGATTATGATGTGCAAGATGCACCACCAAACAAATAAACTTTGAAGTACTGTGGCTGTGATAAATGGTAAACAGTGAATCCTGGCATTTGAATCTAACAGTTATTTCAATATTAAATTTCAACCTCAATAAAACTCAGTTAAACAAATAAAAAATGTAAAGAACTATATTTACATTTGGTTTAACCAATAAATTTCAAAGTTTCTGTTGGTTGAAGAAGACACTTTAAGTACAAGCATCTTTTTACTGGAACTACATTTACCTACATCTCATGTTTAGCTACAGAATAAAGGGTATGATGAGTTAATAATTGTGTCTCTTGAAACAGACAGCTAAGGGGGATAATCGGCAGTATGTTAACTTTCAGATTAAAGGAAAACATGGCTCTGTAATGTCAGCGCTCAGCCTTTAGGTGGCAGTAAACACCACCACCATGTTTTCTTCTGCAGAAGAAGAGCAGGCTTGCGTGGTTCGTATACGGAAGCAGGAACGGGACTTATCAAAGTGCATCAATCTGTCGACGTGTATTTGTCAATACGGGTCGTGTCGTAAGAATAAAGGACACACCGATGATTTGTTGTTAGTTTGTGTTATCATTGGTGTGTGGATACAATGAGGACGACTTTCCTGGTACTCACAATAGTTCTGTGTCGGTGCTTGGTCACAGGTGAGTTAAGGTTTGCAATTTGTGCCTTTATGCTGTTCACTGTCAGAGAAATACTGAACTTCCCCATTGTTCCTATTAGCTAACCGTTTCACAGAGGTGAAAAGTAACTAACTCAAATGCTGTACTTAAGTACAATTTTGAAGTATCTGTATTTTCATTTTGTTACTTCATACTTTGTAGTACTTTGTACTCCCTATATTTATTTGATAACTTTACTGGTTACATTTCAGAAAGAGGTTAATAAAACAGAATACACTATAATCACAACACTTATTGATCCTTGAAATTATAAACATACAAGGTAGTAAAAATTCTCTCGATTTTTACCAGCTACAACATTAAATGTGATGTACATCAATAATTATAATCAAATAATATAATTACATCAATGTAAACTGTGCCATTTTGCACAATGAGCACTTTAAGTATATTTTCTGCTAATACTTTTGTACTTATTAACATTTTGAATGCAGGACTTTTATTTGTAATACAGTATAGTTCGTTTTACTTAAACAGCCTTCGTACTTCTTCCACCACTGTTGTATCATTACACAATAAGGAAATAATAACGGGGGCGGTGCTGAGTTGAATGAAAATGACATCAGTTTATTTTACATTTTTGACTTATTGGAAACTTTGAAAAAATAAATGTACAGCATTTACATGTATTAATTATTTGTGTTCTTGTACTTTTCATTGTGCTTCTTTCATTGGCTGTTTTACAGTGCTTAAGATTTTTTAGATTTAGATTTTGTGTTACCTATGTATCTGAATTATATTTCACTTGTATTGTGTGGCATTTGTGTCGACGGCCAAAGTAAGAATTTCATTGTACAGGAAAACATGTTTCCTCACTGTGCATAGGACAATAAACACTTGACCTTGACATTTTGTTACAAAACTAAATACACATAACCAAATATAGGCTTGGTCTGTGACTGTTTCAAGTAACCTTAAACACACACTTATTTGGGAATATGCAAAGTGTGAGTGCAGGTGAAATTAAAATAATAAAGTGTTTAAAAATAAAATTTGCCACAGGGCCTTCTAAGATATCACCACAAGATTATCTAATAATACAGGACCCATCGTAATTCATATTATGTGCAATCCAGTACAACAGTTCTGCTGCAGCTTTTTTATAATTAGGGAGTTGATTGGGCAGCTGTCACCTCACAGAGGGAAAGTTCTGGGTTTGAGCCCCAGCCGACTCTGCCTTTCTGTGTAGAGTTTGCATGTTCTCCCTGTGCCTGCTTGGGTTCTTTTTCTTTTTTGACATTGTCAGAGGTGCTAATTTAACAGTATGTGTATTGAAGGGAGTTTAGGCCTTTTCCCACAGCAGACATTTTGACATGTCACTGCAGAAAAACCACAGGTGTGATTTATAATATTAATGATGGCTGCTTTATTTAGGTCAACTAATCCAGCAAAGCCAGTAAAAAGAGCAGTATCACTGTTAATACATTTTAGTTCCAGCTGTGCTTTTCCTGTTGTGACAAGTCAAAATGTCGGTCATGGAAAATGTCCGCTGTGCTCTCCAGATGCATGTACATGGAGTGAACAAAACACTGAAACCAAGAAACTTGAAAACATGAACCACAATATTGCTGGTTCACCTTTGATCAGGGATTTTTGTTATATGCTATTCCCAACCATGTGCTCTTCTCATTACCTGTCACTTCTTTGCTGTCATTGACTAATAAAGACGAAAGGCCCAAAATAATAAAGAATTTTGTCTTTTAGTTTAATTCAGCTTGTATACCAAACTAAGAATTTTTCCAGTTAGTTTACCAGTGTGTAGCAACTGCCCCCTCTGCCATAATGTTATGGCCTTTATGTTATTCTTTTTACAGAATAGAATTGAATCAACTAATCTAATAATCTTAGCTAATTTAATCAAATGGGGGAAGCTGATAGTAATGCCCTCTTTCTTATTCCTAACTAGAAGGGATAAATGCTCAAAGGTTACATTTGATACAAGGAAGGAAAGTTATGAGCTAGGACATACACAGAATTCACAATGGCAGAATCCATCCATCCATCATTGATACTGTTTATCTTGTGGAGGGTCACAGGGGTGTGGGTGCTTGAGCCGGTCCCAGCCAACATTGGGTCAGGGGCGGGGTACTCCCAGGACACGTTGCCAGTCTGTCACAGGGCTGAAACATGAAGGCAGATGATCACTCACACTTTTGGGCAATTTACAGTCACCAGTCAACCTAACCTGCACGTCTCTGGCACAGGATGAACATGCAAACTCTATGCAGAAAGGCCCCGGGTGGCAACGAGGTTTGATCCCAGAACTTTCTTGCTGTGAGGTGACAGTGCTAACCACTGTGCCTAATAGCAGCATTTAAGGCATTTATTATTAGATGGCAGTTCTCAGTTTTCTGTTATTGTCCACCATGCTCTGTGTTCTGCTGGTTAAAACACCAAACATTTTTTCTTGTTTTGTTATTTTAATATTTATTTATAGGGACTTCAGTACAAGCGTCCACTGGAGATGGGATGGACAAAAAATCAGTCAATAGTAATGAAGTGAATGATAAAAATCAAACACAAAGCACTGCAGAAATTGGCATAACAAAAAAAGAACCTGACAGTGTGTCAGGTGTAAATACCACTGATCTCAAAAATGCAAGCTCCGTGAAGAACATAGAGGAAACCAAGAAGGAAGAGCCAGAAGGAGGGGAAGCCAAGAAGGAAAAGTCAGAAGGAGAGGGAGCCAAGAAGGAAAAGCCAGAAGGAGGGGAAGCCAAGAAGGAAGAGCCAGAAGGAGGGGAAGCCAAGAAGGAAGAGCCAGAAGGAGGGGGAGCCAAGAAGGAAAAGTCAGAAGGAGAGGAAGCTAAGAAGGAAACGTCAGAAGGAGAGGAAGCCAAGAAGGAAAAGTCAGAAGGAGAGGAAGCCAAGAAGGAAAAGTCAGAAGGAGAGGAAGACAAGAAGGAAAAGACAGAAGCCAAGAAGGAAGAGGGGAAGCCAAGAAGGAAAAGTCAGAAGGAGGGGAAGCCAAGAAGGAAAAGTCAGAAGGAGAGGAAGCCAAGAAGGAAGAGACAGAAGAGGAGAGAGCCAAGAAGGAAGAGCCAGAAGGAGGGGAAGCCAAGAAGGAAAAGTCAGAAGGAGAGGAAGCCAAGAAGGAAGAGACAGACGA